TTTATTTTTATTTATTTTGAGAGAGATACAGAGAAAGCAGGGGAGGGACAGAGAGGGAGACAGAATCCCAAGCAGGCTCTGCGCTGGCAGCACAGAGTCCGATATGGGGCTCGAACTCCCAAACCGTGAGATCATGACCTGAGCCGAAGTCACGAGTCAGAAGGTGTACCAACTGAGCCCCCCAGGAGCCCCGTTTTTTATTTTTTTATGAAAAAATGTTTTTTACGCAAAACTTTCAATACACTTGAGATAGACGGGTACAAGGAGGTCACCACTTCATTCATTCCTTCCGACCTGGGAGATAAAAATCACTATTTTACAGATGAAGGAACTGAGGCTTCGGTTGGTAAAATGTCTTAAGCAAAGTCATGTCCTTGAGGGCAGCTTTCGTGTCTTCGACAAGATGCATCAGCTGATTCCCCCAAGACGGGATGACCCCATTCCTTCTTGTTCCTCCCTTTTGCAACTAAAAAAGCCCTAGATGTAACACAACAAACATAAGAAGACTTTGAAAACTGGAAAGAATAACGTGGGTTGGTTGCTAAAAGGGTGAGCAGTCATCTGGCCTGTATGCTACGTCTCAACAGGGGACGGACTGTCTGCTAAAATGAAGATTAAGTAGGATCCAGAGTATTATTTAAAACTTGGGGGTGCTTGGGTGGCTCAGTTGGTTAAGTATTGGACTCTTTTTTTAAAATGTTTTTATTTTATTTATTTATTTTTTAATTTTTAATGCTTATTTATTTTTGAGAGAGAGAGAGAGAGAAAGCATCAGTGGGGAAGGGGCAGAGAGACAAGAGGGAGACACAGAATCTGAAGTAGGCTCCAGGCTCTGAGCTGTCAGCACAGAGCCTGACCCAGGGCTCAAACTTGTGAACCGCAATATCATGACCTGAGCCGAAGTCAGACGCTCAACCATCTGAGCCACCCAGGCACCTCAAACATCAGGCTCTTAATTTCAGCTCAAGTCATGATCTCACGGTTCGTGAGTTCGAGCCCCATGTCGGGCTCTATGCTGACAGCGCAGAGCCTATTTGGGATTTTCTGTCTCCCTCTCTCTGTGCTCCTTCCCTGCTCACTCTCTATCTCTCTCTCTCAAAAATAAATAAATAAGCATTAAAAATAAACATCAAGGATAGGACAAAAGCACTTGTCATACCAAGAATAAGGAAAATCACAACATGAAGGAGAAAAGACAGACATCAACACCAAGATGAGTCAGATAGAATGATTTGACTTTTTATTTACAGATGGCATGCCTGTCTATGTAGAGAATCTTAAGGAATCTACTAAATGTAAAAGAAACTAGAATTAATAAGTTTGGCAAGGTTGCAGAATACAAGTACACAAAAAAATCAACCACATTTCTATGTTCTTACAATGAGTATGGGGAAACCAAAATTAAAAATACATTTATAATCCAAAGAAATTGAAATATTTAGGCATAAACTTAACAAAGAATGTATAGGACTTGTATGCTGAAAATTACATAATGCTAATGAAAGAGGTCAAAGAAGACCTAAATAAATGGACAGACATACTATGTTCACAATTATAATACTCAGCATAGTG